CTCTCTCTCTCTCTCTCTCTCTCTCTCTCCTCTCTCTCTCCTCTCCTCTCCACTCTCTCTCTCTCTCTCTCGCTTTCTTAGCGTCCATGGGCGGGATAATGACCTTGCTTCATTCTGTTGTCGTTTTTTTATTGCAGTGGTGATAGTGACCTGTTTTTTGTTTGTTTGTTTGTTTTTAGGGGGGGGGGGTAGTCTCTCTTTGTGGAACTTGCCTTATATTTACTTCTACTTCTACTATTGCTACTACTACCACTACTACTTTTACTACTACTACTACTACTACTACTACTACTACTACTACTACTACTACTACTACTATTACCACTTAAGCTTCATGTACAAGTTTTGCTCCGATGCTATAAACAGATAAATGAATACTAAATTTGTTATTATTTTTCTCCCGCAGCGCACGAACCGTCGAGACACCGCGACAGACCAGATATTCACACTACGGGTAAATATCATTATTTTGTTTAAAAAGAAAATCTGAAAATATGTTGGTCTGCCTCAAAATTATGCTGTATATTTTCCCATTTTCTGTTTTTTAATAACAATACTACTGGGACATTGTTTTTACTTATACGTTTTATTTAAATATGTTGTTTTCCCTTGTGTTTATACTGTATATATAATCGTTTTCTGTCTTTTTTCTTTACAAGTATAATTCTATAAAGATTAAAAAAAAAGACAGCCATTATCATCATTCTCTTGTTTACGTAAAGTTATCCCACTGAACTATCTATCTCTCTCGCCGGGCAGATAACGCAACTGCTTTTTAATGACAATTTAATGGCTGAAGAAACTTCTCGAAATTTGCATGTAATCTCCATTGAGGCAATTTATGAGAGCACATCTCTGTAGTCTTGCCTATTTCCACATGTTCACTGCAATTGCAATGTTGAGGTGAAATAGTTATTCTGGCGATTGCTGTTGGCAACTCTGCTACGGAATTGGCCTTGCCTTACACATTTTGATTTTTGCTTCGGAAACTTTCTAAATAGATTTGTCAGTATTCTGGACTGATTAAATGCTTGCAGTTTGATTTTTTTTTTTTGTCAGATTAGTGTTAAATACCGTTGATACTGTTTTGCAAACGAAAAGGCTATACGTCCGTAGGTGATATATTTCGACAGTGAACCAAATATCCACACTTTTCATGCTAAATATATCCTATATATACACCGCTTTTTCTATAAATCAACCCCCCCCCCCCCCCCAACAAATACAAATATACATTCTTTCTTTCATCCCTACACAACCCAAACCCATACCATCTAACGCCTAAAACGATAATATTATTGTAGACGAGCCCGGGTGGCGGTCACGTGAACAAAATGGCGGTGTGGCAAAGTGTAACGAAGTCGCGGAAATCTGGTTAACGGACGAGGATGGGAATGTGGAACTGTTGGAGGAGTGTAGGTTTCCGTTGCAGTCGTGAAACCGTGCTTGAGGAAACATACCCCAACCCCTCCCCCCCCTTTTTTATTGATTGAGGGATCTTGGGTTTTGAGGGTTTTTTATATATTTTTTTTTATTTTTTTTTCATTTTATTATTATTATTTTTTTTTTTTGTCTTTGGTGTTAATATATATATATTTTTTTTGACGTCATTTTCTATTGTTTTTTTCTCTTGGTGTTATGAATGTGTTTTTTTTTTCTTTAAACGTTATTTGCTGGATTTTTTGTCTCTCTCTTTCTTCTTTTAGTTTGTTTGTTTTTTTTCCCTGATCTCTTTTCTCCTCTTTTTTTTCTCTCTCTGTTCTTTACTGTTTTCATTCTTCTTCACCCTTCTATATTTTCTCCCCTTTATTTTCTCTTTTTTTTTCGTTTCATGTTCCTTCTAAGTCTCTCCGCTTCCTTATCTATTACTCTTTCTTTTCCTCCTTTTCGTCAAACTATTTCAACTCCAAGAAAACACATTTCAAAACACCAATAGAGAGAAAAAGCATTTTAAATAAACATGAATAACTTCCAAGTAAATTATCATGCAAACTTACATAAATTCCCACACATATAATTTTCCACGCCCCCCCCCCCCCCCCCCCCAGAAGAAGAAGAAAAAAACAGAATAAGGCTAAACATAGAAGATTATAAGAAAAAAATAAGATTAAAAATGGATCAGAAATCTCCCCTACGTACCCTGTGACCTCAAGCACGTGGCGACAATAAAGCCCAAATTTTTTTTTTTGTTTTAATTAAAGCAAAGCACTTATAAAGCACATATGTGTCTCGTAGTTCTCTTGCACAGTAATAAAAAGATAAGTAAATAAATAAATGAATGGGTGTGGCACAACACGAGTGACAGTAATTTTGTTTTTAAGATTTTGTATTTCCGTTATTTGGTGTGATTATTATTGTTGTTGTTGTTGTTGTTGTTGTTATTCTCATTATCATTATCGTTATCACTTTCTCAGTATCATGATTATTTTTTTAATGTTTATTTTTATTTATTTGCGTAAGCATCGTTTATTGTAAGTCTATTTGGCTTCTGTAAGGATTTTTTCATTATCTATTTTAGTGTTATTTCAGTCTTTATGAATAATTAGCGATTTTTCATTTTTTTCTCTTTCTCTTTTCCTCTCCCTTTTCTATCTTATTTTTTCCCGCTCTCTCTTTCACTCCATTTTTGTCTCTCACTCAGCTTTCCCTCTCTCTCTCTTTCCCTTTCCCTCCCCTTTCTCCCCGTCCCCTCTCTTACCTCCCTTTCCCTCCCTTTCTTCCCCTTTCCTCCCCTTCCCATTTCTTCCCCTTTCCTCCCTTTCCTCCCTTCCTCCCCTTTCTTCTCTTCCTTCCCTTTCCTCTCTTCCTTCCTTCTTCCCTTTCCTCCCCTTCTTCCCCTTTCCTCCCTTCTTCGTCTTCTTCCCCTTTCCTCCCTTTCTCCCCTTTCCTCCCTTCTTCCCCTTTCCTCCCTTCTTCCCCTTTCCTCCCTTCCTCCCCTTTCCCTCTATTCCTCCCCTTTCCTCTCTTCCTCCCTTCTTCCCCTTTCCTCCCTTCCTCCCTTCCTCTATTCCTCCCTTTCCCTCCCTTCTTCCCCTTTCCTCCCTTCTTCCCTCTTTCTTCTCTTCCTCCCTTTCCTCCCATCCTCCCCTTTCCCTCTCTTCTTCCCCTTTCCTCCCTTCTTCCCCTTTCCTCTCTTCCTCCCCTTTCCTCCCTTCTTCCCCTTTCCCTCTCTTCTTCCCCTTTCCTCTCTTCTTCCCCTTTCCCTCTCTTCTTCCCCTTTCCCTCTCTTCTTCCCCTTTCCTCCCTTCTTCCCCTTTCCTCCCTTCCTTCCCTTTCATCCCATCCTCCCCTTTCCCTCTCTTCTTCCCCTTTCCCCTATTCCTCCCTTTCCCTCCCTTCTTCCCCTTTCCCTCCCTTCCTCCCTCTTTCTTCTCTTCCTCCCTTTCCTCCCTTCCTTCCCTTTTCCTCCCTTCTTCCCCTTTCCCTCTCTTCTTCCCCTTTCCTCCCTTCCTCCCTCTTTCTTCTCTTCCTCCCTTCCTCCCCTTCCCTCTATTCCTCCCTTTCCCTCCCTTCTTCCCCTTTCCCTCTCTTCTTCCCCTTTCCTCTCTTCCTCCCTTTCTCCTTTCCTCTATTCCTCCCTTTCCTCTCTTCCTCCCTTCCTCCCTCCTTCCATGTCGTCAACACAAGGAATATGATTATGATTAATATCCCTCGAAGCCGATGATATCATAGAAAACGGAGATAGGTTTATAATCTCATTTTAAGGGGTGACGCAAGAATTAGCTCCCCCCTCCCCCTCCACCCACCCTCAGCTAACGAGCAAAATCATGTTTAGAGAGATTGCTTATCGAGTTAGTTAATGCCTAGTAATATTAATTCACAATTTTATTTGTTTTTTTAATGAATTAATTTTCTTATTTTTGATGGGCATTTTATAGTCGTTTTGTATCTCCTGTATACAAACTTTTAACATTTCCGAATCTGCAAAACTTTTTTTTTTATTTCGCAAAAGAGAATAAACGAGAAAAACAACAACAACAACAACAAAAGTTTCATTGATAATTCACCTCCATAACTTTTTTTTTTTCGGAAATTTCATTTTGCTTCGGAACAGCTGCGTTTAATCAGGATTTATGTAATGGAATTAAATCGACCGTGTCTGTTCGCTCTCTATGCACCATTATTATTATTTTTTTTTTATTTATTTTTTTTTTGCACCGTATGTTGTATGTTGTTTTCAGTATGATGCACTCACGCACACGCACTTTAGTTAAGATTGGAGTATGTTTGGGTTTGTTTATTTTGTTTAGATGTGTGTGTGTGTGTGTAGGGTGTGCAGGGTGTATGTGTGTGTGTGTGTGTGTGTGTGTGTGTGTGTGTGTGTGTGTAGGGTGTGCATGGTGTGCAGGGTGTATGTATGTGTGTGTAGGGTGTGCAGGGTGTATGTGTGTGTGTGTGTGTGTGTGTGTGTGTACGTGCGTGTGTTTGCGTGTGTACGTGTGTGCATTTGTATATGCGTGTATGTTATGTGTTAGGCTGAAAAAAATATATATTCACTTTATCTAATATTCCCAATTTTTCATCACCAGGCTTGAATCTGAACGAAAATGAGCTGGTGGGCAGCAACATCATGCAACAACAGCAACAACAGCAGCCGAAGGGACAGACTCCGTATACCATCACCGTCAATGTCGTTCGGGGAAACCAAGGTTTCGGCTTCAGCGTGGCGTGGACGAAGCCGCCCCGAGTCGAACGCGTTGAGCCGGGTCTACCAGCCGAGCAAGCCGGACTGAAGCCTGGCGATTACATCATCTTCGTCGGGCAGTTTAATGTCGTGAAATATGAGGAGGAACAGGTGCTCGACATCATCAGGTGAGGAGGAGGGGGGGTCTGCTTTGGGAGATGCGTTTGTTTGTTTGTTTGTTGTTGCTGTTGTTATTGTTGTTGTTGTTGTTATTGTTATTATCATTGTTATTGTTATTGTTGTTATTATTATTGTCATTATTGTTATTGTTATTATTATGATTATTATTATTATTATTATTATTATCATTATTATTATTATTATTATTATTATTATTATTATCATCATCATTATCACTATCATTATTATTATCATTATTATTATTATTATTATTATTATTATTATTATTGCTCTTTGTTGTGTGTGCGTGTACGTGCGTGTGCGTTTGTGGGTGCGTGCGCGCGCGTGTTTATAGTAAACAATGCAGATCAGCATAAAAGAGCCGTTCTATTCACGCCGCTCTCGTCTTAGTCATACCTGAGATTACTTTTAGCATTTTCCAAGAAGGTCCAGCTTAAAGGGGGGGAGGGGGGGGACTCGTCTAATGCCCTTCTTGGAAAGGAAGTCAGGAAAACATTAGGGCAGAGTTGGCTACATTTAGTCAGTTGAAAGCTTTTTCCGGGTGTTTTAAGCGACCTCTGGCACTCTGGTAATGAGGCTTGCGGTGGTGGTGATGATGGTGATGGTGGTGGTGATGATGGTGATGAAATTGGGCTTGGACGTTCACTTACGCGCTGCTGGAACACAGAGCGCCAAAACGTTTAGACCGAAATGGAACTGAAAAATACAGTGTGGATGAATAATAATGATAATAAATAATAATAATAATGATAATAATAATAATAATAATGATAATGGCAATGATTATAATAAGTAATGATAATAATAATGATAATAATAACAATAATAATAATAATAATAATAATAATAGATAAGTAAATAGAAATAGATAGGAGTAAATAAATAAAATTAAAATGAAATACAAATGAACATTTATATAAATAAAAATAAAGAATATAAACAAAGACAAAAACCTTTAAAAAATATATATAATATTAAAAACTCAAACAACAGATCAAAATGTAAAAAAAAAAAAATAAATAAATAAATAAATAAAATAAATAAATAAAAGGAATAACTGTAAAACCCCCTCTTTCTCCCCAGGGATAGTGGCGACGTCCTGTCTATGGAGGTCTACCGCCGCGGCGTCTCGAAGCACCCCCGGAGCTTCGTCAACGGCTTTGTCCCGTCTCGAACCGCTTCGGAACAGGGCCTCGCCAACGGAAACGAATCCCACCCACGCAAGAAGCTCAGCCACATTACCTTCAACACAGAGGTAGGATGGGGCTTGAATGTGTGATGTGGTTGTGCCCTGGTTCAGAAAAGGATGGGCGTGGCAGGTCCTTCAGAGGTAGGAGGAGGAGGAGGAGGAGGATGGGCTGTGCTGAAGCGTGTGGAGGAGAAATAGCGGGCGTCGGAACCTTTTAAAGAGGTGGAGACTGGAAAGGGTTCTGCTAAAACGTGTATCGAGAAGAATGAAACTGGTTTTAATTGAAGATTTGCTTTTTGTTCATTTTTTTTTTATGAGATTTGGAAGGATTCGTGATTTTTTATTAGATTGACAGCGAAGGATTGGAGAATTCCGTGTGATAGGAGCTTGATTTGTGAAGGATTGGTCTGACGTTAGGATTACACTCTGATCCTGAAGGTAGGATGGGAGTTTCACCTGTGAAGGATGACATAAGGTCCTTCCATGCGTGTCTTTTTACCCATTTCCAAATCCCTCTTCCTCTCCTCCTTTTTTTTCTCTTTTCTTCCTATGCACCCATTTCTTGCTTTTACCTTGCAGTACTATAAAAAGTGCAAGTTGATGACCATTTTTTCCTATTTTTTTGGAACTTGACTTTTTTTTTGAGATTGATGAAACAAATGCTGCTTGCTTCTGCTTTCGCGAGCATGATGTTTAAGACATTTTGTGAACAACTTCATTGCACAAATTTAGACATATGGGCATGAACACATACGCTCATGACGCTAAAAAAATTAACACACACACGATCAAAATATTGAGTTGTGAAATTTATTTGTAAATATTTTCTGAAACTAAAATATTGGCACAGGCTTAAAATCTTTATCAATTATCATGTTTAAAATTGGAAAAAAACACTCTTTTTTCCCCTTTTTTCTGTATTACAAAATTACCTGATTTGCATAGCTGGGCCAAATCGAAAATATATATTTTTTTCTAGATGTTTTAGAAATCTAACACTGACATATTGACGATAACACTAATTTTAGCCTAGGACCTTCCCTTCTTCACTGTTCTATCTCTATATTAATTATATCTTTGAAGAAAAACATTGTGATAATTGACTATATATTTAATGTATATTCACGTGCACAAAGTACATAGGATATATCATTTCATATATTATAAAGCGCCAGTATACATCACCACAGTATTGTATGCGAGTTCCTATGCTGCATGTAGAGTTGTTATGTAGTATGGTATACCTCATGTATTATATCATAGTACTAGAGCTGCAGTGTTGGGCATATAAACATATATTTATATAAATATATTTGTACGTGTATATATTGTACATGCTGAGATATATATAAATATATATATATTTTTTACACCCCCTTTGTAACACTTTGTAATTTACTTTAGTGTACATTTTTGTATATTTTGTAAATATAGACATCAATACAGTTTTCCTTGTTTATTTATTATCCTTTTTAGTTTTGTGTTTATTATTATTATTATTATGTAATTTCTTCGTTTTTTTTTCCTTTGCTATTTGAATCTCCTCCTCTTTGCTCTTGTAAAGAAAATAAACGGCTGTAATACAAAGAATATTAAAAAAAAAACTCTTAAACACGCTTATCTTCATCTTCTTTTTTTGTTTGTTTGTTTACTTATAAAAAAAAATGTGCTTTGGGAACGATCAAGCCACTCGCAAGCACTTTTGACATGCATCCTTTAAAGCTTGTATTACCCCCCTTCCCCCCCTTCGCTGAGAGAAGTACGAATTCACCAGCAGCTTACAAGCACACGAGGCATGCTTTTATTAATATTTAGAGAAGGTATTACTCACTGGACTGGTAATCTGTGAAGTAATTGTGTAATGTTTTAAATATTTTTTTATATTGTGCTAATGATTTTGAGAGTTGAAAGCAAAATATGTAATTAAGTGGTGTTCTTTAACTGTAGATATTATAATGAATACTCTATGGTTACTATAATGAATTACTCTGTGGTGATTATCATTAATTACTTTGCTAACGTTGTACAGTTAGTAATCAGTGGAATAATTTTTTTTCTTTATTATTTTGTACAACTATATTTACGTTAATTTACTCTCCTTTGATCAATGGATATTCATGTGTTGAAATGGAGTCTACGTTTATCAAAATTATTAAAGAGATTTTCAAAAATTGTGATAGGTATCTCAATCGGAGGAATACAGATTCAGAGATATATCATGTAAATATATTCAAAATAGTTTTTTTTTGTGGGTGGGTGGGTGGTGGTGTGGTAGGGGGGTGGGGGAAGGGGAAGGGGGGCGTCACAGTGCATATCTCAAACGACAAAAAAAAAAAAAAAAAAGTTTCTGAATGATACAGTAAAAGTTATCTAAGCTTTAATATCCAGTCACCTAATACAAACGTCATCTGTGAAATTATGTAATACAAAACGAAAGATGACCAAATGTACCATCAGACGCGATCAAAAAAAAGAAAGAAAAAAAAGAGTAATAATAATAAGTATAAATGATAATAAGTAAATAATAATAATAAGTAAAAATGATAATAATAATAAGTATAAATCCCAGGGCGCTTCACCTCCACCAGGAAGTCGAAATTAAAGAAGATTAAATGAAAGATGGATACGATGGACCCAGTAACATTTGGCTCAGGCGATAAAGTCATCAAAGAATAATTGAGAAGCGAAAGAGAGAGAGAGAGAAAAAAAAACGCATGATCGGAGAGGAATAATTGAGAAAGCGAAAGAGAGAGAGAAAAAAAAAATGCATGATCGGAGAGGACTAATTGAGAAAGCGAATGAGAGAGAGAGAAAAAAAAACACATGATCGGAGAGGAATAATTGAGAAAGCGAAAGAGAGAGAGAGAAAATAAAAGAAAAATCATGATCGGAAAGGAATAACTGAGATGAAAAACTAATGATCGGGAAGGAATAATGCAGAAAGCGAAAGAGAGAGATAGAGAAAGAAAAAGAGTGATCGGAATGGAATAATTGAGAAAGCGAAAGAGAGAGAAAAAAAAGACGACTGACCGGAAAGGAATAACTGAGAAAGCGAAAGAGAGAGAAAAAAAAGACGAGTGATCGGAATGGAATAATTGAGAAAGCAAAAGAGGGAGAGAGAGAGAAAAAAAAAGACGAATGGTCGGAAAGGAATAATTGAGAAGAAAAACTAATGATCGGGAAGGAATGACTAAGAAAACGAAAGAGAAGAAGGATGAATAATTGAGGAAGAGTAGGAAAGGAACAAGAAAACGAAAGAGAAAAAGAAGAAAGACGGATGATCGAAATGAATAATTGAGAAAGCGAAAGAGAAGAAGCAGGAATAATTGAGAAAGAGAACGAAAGGAATAACGGAGAAAGCGAAAGAGAAGAAGGAATAAATGAGAAAGATAAGGAAATAAATAATTGATATAGAGGAGCGACAAAAGTAAAGAGAAATGTGGCATAATAAGAGAGAAAAGACGAAAGAGAAAAATGTTGACAGGAAACGATAACCTGAAAATGAGAGAAATAGAAATGGTCAGAAAGGAGTAAATGAGAATGAAAAAGAAAAAAAAAAGAAAAGTAGAGAGGATTACCGAGAAAAAAAAACTAGTATATAGGAAACAAGAAAACAAAAAAATAGAAACGATCAAAAATGAAGATTAATGAAACATAAGAAGAAAGAGACAGAAGAAACTAAGTATAGATGATCGACGAAAGAGAGAGAGAGATAAAAAATAGAAATGAGAGGAAGTATAAGAATTAGACAGACAGACAGACAGATAGACAGATAGACAGACAGACAGAGAAACGAGACAAAACAGACAGAAAAAGTAAAGACCAGAGAGCTTTAAGACTTTTATTTAAGATGTTGAATAATACAGTCTATCATTAACGATTAACTCTCATAAGAATTAGTCTTGCAACACACTCACGACCCATTGCAAATCTTAATGTCACCTCAAAGAAAGAGAGATAGAAAAGATAAGAGAAGGAAAATTATTTATCAATGGTGGATAAAGAGAAAAGATAAATCGATAGATAAGACACAGAGAGACAGACAGTGAGAGAGAGAGAGACAGACAGACAGACAGAGACAAAGACAAAGACAGAGAGAGACAAAGACACAGAGAGACAGAGACAGAAACAGAGAGAAAGAGAAAGAGACAGAGAGAGAGAGAGAGAGCAATAGAAAAGGTAGGATATCAGTCTTAGAAAGAATCACAAGAAAAGGATAAACAACGGACAATAATGATGATGATAAAACAATTATAAATTCAATAATAATGATAATGATAATAATAATAATGATCCTCATCAACATCATCATCATCATAACAATAATCATAATAATGATAATAGTAATAGTAATGATAATAATAATCATAGCAATAATGATGATAACTCTACTACTATTATTTCAATTAATTCTAATAATAATAATAATAATAATAATATTAATAATGATAATCATTATGATAAGGATAATATCAAAGATAATATTAAAGGCTACTGATAATGATGATAATGATGAAAATGATAATGATAATAATAATGACTATAATGAGAACAATAACGAAAATAATAATAATGATAATGATAACAACGATGATGATAATAATAATAATAATTATAATAATAATATTATTAATAATAATAATAATAATAATAATAATAATGATAGTAATAATGGTAATAACAATAATAAATATGATGATATGAATAATAATAATAATAAAGATGATGATGATGATAATAATGGCAGTAATGGTAATATTAACAATAATGATAAAAATAATAATGATGATGATAATAATAATAGAAATAATGATAATGATAATGATGATAATAGTAATAATAACAATAATAATAGTAATAATAATGAAAATAATAATAATGAAAATAATAATAATAATAATAATGATAATGATAATAATAATAATAATAATAATAATAATAATAATAATAATAATAATAATAATGATAATAATAATAATAATAATGATAACAATAATAATGATTATTATAAAAAGATAATAATGATAATAAAAATAATGATGATATGATAATGATAATTACAATAATAATAATTATGATATTGATGTTAATGGTGATAATGAAAATAATAACTATAATAATAATTATAATAATAATAATGATGATAATAGTAATAATGATGATGATGATAATAATAATAACAATAACAGTAATAATAATAATAATAATAATAATAATAATGATACTAAAAATGATAATAATGATAATAATAGTAATAATAATAATAATAATAATAATAATAATAATAATATTAATAATAATAATAATTATAATAATAACAACAACAATAATGATAATAATAATAATAATAATAATAATGATAATAATAATGATAATAATGATAATGATAATAGTAATAGTAATAATAATGACAATAATAATGATAATAATAATAATAATAATGATAATAATCATAATAATAATAATAATAATAATAATAATAATGATAATAAAAATGATAATAATGATAATAATAGTAATAATAATAATAATGATAACAATAATAATAATATTAATAATAATAATAATTATAATAATAATAACAACAATAATAATAATAATAATAATAATAATAATAATAATGATGATGATAATAATGATAATGATAACAGTAATAGTAATGATAATGATGATAATAATAATAATAGTAATAAAATACTGATATTAACAACAACGATAATAATAATGATGATAATGATAATAATGATAATGATAATAATAATAATAATAATAATAATAATAATAATAATAATAATAATAATAATCATCATAATAATAATAATAATAATAATAATAATAATAATAATAGTAAGGGATAGAGATAGATCGATAAAGAGAGAGAAGGAAAGGAATAACTGAGAAAACGAAAGAGAAAAAGAAGAAAGATGAATGATCGAAATGAATAATTGAGAAAGCGAAAGAGAAGAAGAAGGAATGACTGAGAAAGAGAATGAAAGGAATAACTGAGAAAACGAAAGAGAAGAAGGAATAAATGAGAAAGATAAGGAAAGGAATAATTGAGAAAGAGGAGCGGCAAAAGTAAAGGAGAACGCAGCATTGTGGAAATTTACAACAGCAACATGAAAACAGAATTAATGTAATCAGAATCATCACCATCACCACCATCACCACCATCAGCAGCAGCAATAACAAGAACATTATCATCTTCATTATCACCATCGCTATCATCAGCAACATGGTCATCACCATTTACGTCAACATCATCATCACCATCGTCATTAAATGCAACAGCAAAATATCACCATCATCATCACCATCCCCATCACCATCATCACCATTAATCATCATTAACACCAACAGCAACATCATCACCATCAACAACATTATTACCATCATAGTCACCACCACCACCAACATCAACACCACC